GCATCACTCTCCATAGTTTCTCGGAAAGAAACTTGGAACACCCGGTGAATATTCCTTGTTCACCTTTTGTCCCCTAATTAACACGATACCTTTAATTTTAAGCCAATCAGCTGGTTTACTCACGCTTTAAAAAAGCTGTCAAGTAACAAAGAGCAGTCAAGCACTTTTTTTGTCAAGAATCAATACGCGACCAATCTATTGTTCATTGTAATCATTATATACATCATACGGTTTCGAAGAGCAGTGAGAAATGGCGAAGGGTAACTCTTCCCAATACTGGTCTGGATATCTTACTCAGGGTCGCTTCAAGCCATTCTCTTCTACATACATTTCCAGCTTTGTTTTGGTTTAGTCTGCTTTATTGTGACTGTGCGATTTTCTTTTCAGTTACGTAAATTAGTAATGGCGCACATGTAGAGTGCGTCGCCATTGAAATATTCTTCTCAGTCCGTATTCTCTATCACACCTGCCAATCATTCAGTTAACAGAGCAAGTACGAATTTTTGTCTGAAGGAAACCGACGAAGGCTTAGCGTAACCTTAAGTCGGTTATATTTTCATCACAGACGGACACCTTACACTACGTCTACATTTTAATTTTCAGAGACACTATACAACTAAAGAACTTTGCCGAGAAAAATATCTTCAAACGTACGCGAACAAAAATTAATATTGGCATACCACAACATAGGTGAGGATCAGTGTCTATTCCCCTAGACGGTATTTTTCATCACCGCAGGTAAAGTAGTTTAAAACTCAAGATAACGGCATTGTTTCTATTCTAAAATCAAAAATAGTAGCGAACCTATGTAACAGACAGGCCTTCGTTCATTTCTTTTGCCGGTGTAACTATTGTAAGAGTCACCCCAACTTGTAGTAATAACATTGCTGACAAAATGGTTCTTATATATGGAAACTTGTGATGACTCATCCTAAAGAGGATAAACTGCTTTTTGAAAAGTCAGTTTGATAGTTTACATCTAAAGTAAAGATCTTCTCAGTTATTTCTCTTTGAGTTACAGCGGGCATATGGCCTTTCAACGAGGGTACTGTTCTTTTGGAAAAAACTCTGGATAACGATTTAGAGTTTTCCGTATCAGATGTTTGTTGCCCAGTTGTTGTACAGTCTGTCCCAGTCTGTAACACATTTGAAGTCCTTCTTTCATCGCTATCGCCATTTGGTCTATCTTTCCTTCTTCTTCATACAAGAGAGCTTGGTCAATTTTTACGATTGCTTTCCACTTGTGATCCTCATCTAGGTCTCTCTCGGCAACACGTTCCGCCTCTTCGAGTAGATTTCTTGCTTCTTCAAAGTTACCTTTCTTCTTGTGGCAAATTCCGTAGTTTTTTAGAGTCAGAATACTCTCCTTATGACCCTCCATCCCCAATTTTTTCATCATTTTTAAAGCCTTTTGGTAATAGGATAGTGCTCTGTCCAGTTCAGTATTGTTTCCAAAAAAGAAAAGTAGGTCGGCAAAGTCTTTTAGGCACTGTGCAGTCATAAAATGTTCACCAAGACACTTGTTGAAAAGCTGCCATGCTAGCTTCATCTTTCGGTCAGCCTCACTCTTTTCTTTGCGACGTTTATCGAGTCGTCCAGCAAATAGCAAAGTTGCCGCTCTTTCAGGATGTTCAGGGAGTTTTTCTTCGCAGATCTGCAGCGATTTCTGGAAAACATTTTTAGGTTCATCTGATACTTTGCTTTCTGAAACAAATCGGGCATAGCTGTGAAGATAAATGACTTCTGACAAAGGATTTGTCTCAAAATCAGTGCCCTTCTCTTCATAGAGCTTTCTGGCTTCCTCCGTATAGGCATTGTACTTTGCTGTGTCGCCTACTTTTCTAACTTCATGTCCAAGAAGGCACAAAAGTTCCACTCTGTGCACTGGTTGACTTTCAGAGTCAAACGTTTCCAACAACCTTTCCAGGATGGAAATGTAAAATCTCGGAAGAACACACATTTCTAAATNGCCCTTTCTGGTTTATTTTTTATTTAACGTCATCTGCATGTCACTGAAACAGATTATGACGCCTTCCCTGGCCGCAAGACGAAGAACCCTAGTGAGAGTATGTAAGGAATGCTAGGAAAACTTCCTACAATTTCTCCGCGGTACTTACAGTAGAAGCCCCGTGCGTCCCGTCATGCTCCTGTTCAGTCTTGTTTCCGGAAAAGAAAAGTTAGTCGGCAAAGTCTTTTAGGCACTGTGCAGTCATAAAATGTTCACCAAGACACTTGTTGAAAAGCTGCCATGCTTGCTTAATCTTTTTCGCAGCTTCTGTCTTTTCCTTGCTACGTTTATCGAGCCGTCCAGCAAATAGCAATGTTGCTGCTCTTTCAGGATGTTCAGGGAGTTTCTCTTTGCAGGTTTGGAGTGATTTCCAGTAAACTTTCTTGGGTTCATCTGTTACTTTCTTTTCTAGAAGAGAGCGGGCATAGCTATGAAGATAAAGGACTTCTGACAACGGGTTTGACTCAAAATCAGTACCCTTCTCTTCATAGAGGTTTGTGGCTTCCTCCATATAGGCATTGTACTTTGCTGTGTCGCCTACCTTTCTAACTTCATGTCCAAGAAGGCACAACAGTTCCACTCTATGCACTGGTTGAGATTCTTAGTCAAACGTTTCCAACAACCTTTCCAGGATGGAAATGTAAAATCTCGGAAGAACACACATTTCTAAATACATGCACTTTTGGGGAAAATCGTCAAGGAAGGTTTTACAGGATTCCATGATATCGCAATCCTTCTTTTCCCTTCCTTGAGCGTAGATTTGAAGAAAATACTCGAAATTGTGCCTGTCCGCGTTAAATGCCTCAACTGACTCTCTGCAAGTGTTCTTACTCCAGTACCTATTGGCATTTTCAGCCAGGCGAGACATAAAGTGAGCACACGCCAATTTGTCCCCCGCAGCAACAAGATGGGGATACTCAGCATCACCAAGCTTCTTTGCTAAAGCTTGAATAAGCGGATGCATCTGATACATTCGGGGGCTTGGTTGCTCGAGAAGTGATCTGTTTTTCAGGGAGCGAAGGATGGATCCAGGCAGAGTTCCAGGAATCGAGCATGCTTCCAAAACAGCCTCAGCGGCATCTGATTTAAATGAACCCGGCAACAGAGACAGAAGAACGAAGGCTTCTTTATGTTCAGCTTGAGTCAGAAGGTCAAATGAGGTCTTGATTGCATTTTCTACTGATGTTTCATCGTCTTTCAGAACAGTCAAAGGCTGCTCCTCCAGGTGCTTTATTAGCTTTTCTTCCGTGAAGTCGGAGAGCAGTGATCCAACAATGCAAAGCGCCAATGGAATCCCGCCACATAGCTCAACTAATCTTTCTGTCTTGCAAAGCTTATTTCGCATATCATGATCGTAGATTCGAGAGACAAGAATACGTTTCGCCTCATCGGCTAAAACCGGGTTTAGTCTTACTTCCCTCAACTGCAAATTGGGATCTTTAAATGTTTTTCTTGTAGTTATGACAAATGTCACCTTTTGCTTCGACAACATTCTTACCGCGCGTAAGATGTTTAGGAACAAACCTCGATCTTTCGACTCAAGGACACCATCTGTATTGTCGAGGACAAACGTAACTTGCGTTTGGATCTGTTTGTTCCAGTCTTTGAGCCACTGCTCCGGATTGTCTAGCGCTTTTGTGTGGATTGTACCGCATGAATGGATCATTTCTGTGGCTACTTCATTGAAGGATATCTGTGTCAGTAGACTGCAAAACAAGACAGTCCTCTCGTTTTCTGGTTTGGCTAGCTCATGAGCCACTTCGTTAGCCACAGTTGTCTTTCCAAATCCCGGTCCTCCGGTTATCAGAACAACAGGCACTGTGCCAGTTTCTACAATTTCTTTGACTTCCTTTATTTTTTTCTCATGACCAAACATACGTTTCTCTGATACTTTGTCTGGAAGAAAGCTGCAAAGGTTAGAAGTAGCGTCGTCTGACTCGTCATGTTCCACTCTCCTCCACTGTTTGACTTGCTGCGCCACCGCTCGTCGAGTGTCGTGATCGATAGGATCGGTCTTCAGGTCCTGTATTTTCTTTCGGTAAACACTAGTTTCAAGTGACTCTAAAGACGTGGCTATCTTGCCCCACTTGTCTTCGAATTCGCCATTAGGAATACCGGTGGAAACACTGTGACACAGCTCATTTCTGAAGCATTTGATTCGGACGATGTTTGCTTCACGACTGACATCACCATCCGCCGGCATTTTGTGCCATCCTATTGTGGGCGCCGTTAGATGACAGATTTCACGAAGCAATAAATGCAACAGTATTATGTCGAACGTTTTCGAGTCTGGTGGATCACCTGAAGTAGGAAATAACTTTTCCCACTGGTCATCAAATATTACACGCCTGGACTTCAGACTCTGAAGCTTGGGAAGATTGTTGTCTAATACGTGGTGTAATGTCGCGGGTGGATGAACAGAATGTAAAACCTTTCTAAGAACCTGTGTTCCTCCGTCAACCAGTAATCGTGCCAGTCTTGTTCCATTTGTCTTTTCTTCCGATACAGCATACACAGATGATCCAGATGCGCCAGCAGAAGAAGCTGCATCGGCAGCTGCCATGTTCTTTATTGCTCTTAAGCTATAAAACCCTTAAAGGTTCTTTGAAATTGTGTGCTGTCTAGATGATTTTTTCCACAAATAGGACGTTTTTAAAGTCGTTATATGCAAACTGAAATTAACTCGTAGGGTCAGAACACATCTTCAATTCAAACCGTGTTCGATCCAGGCAAACGTTTTTATCTTCGTCAACCACCTGCACTAAATTGAAGGATTTTAAAGTACTTTGAACTTTCCAAGAAACCAGGATGTTATCTTTGTCAAACACCTGCACCAACTTGAAGGTTTTGAACTAGTACTTTGAACTTCCCAAGAAACCAGGATGTTTTCCTTAAATTCACAATTAATGAATGCTTCAGGCAACCGTTGGCTATTTTGATTGTTTGCCAAACAGTAAGCGAGACACAAATATTAATGTGTCTAGTTAGGCATTGTCCCCAGCGCTAGATTTGACCTCTATTTTTTTCGCGGCATCAATCATTTTAGCCTTACCTTTTGGTTTTATAGTTTCTTCTATTCTTAGTTAATTGTAAGATAGGAAATGAAATAAACATGCTGAATGGTGTGCCCAGCATCAACCTGTTATTTTCCTAGGGATTTGCCGTGCCTTAATTTTTATGTTGTTTTTTGCGGGAGACTAGACAATATCAGAACAATTATTCTAGGAAATCTCCAGGCTTCCTGAAGCAGGAAACACATATATATTAATTATAAGCTATAATAGTAATTTACCAGCCTTACCTCGTAAGTAATACCTTTTCATTTGACCAAACAGCTCGATTGCATGAAGTTAAGAGTAGTAAATTAGACGATTCCCTATGGTTTATATTAGTGTCTTCTAATGTTTCTTTTTTCCAATTAATCGGTTATATTTGAAAATCATTGCGTCATCAATTGCATATATGAATATTTGAATACTTTGTGGAATCATCTTCAAGCCAAAGCAACTCTTTCCAAGAATATGTGTTGTTTTCAAATCAAATTAAGATATAAATAAAATTGTTCCTCCCTCACGTCTGATAAGTAGAGATTATACAGTACGCAACAAAATGTGAAGGTATTGTTTGTGTAGTGTCTGAAATAAATCTATTTGACAAATCCCTCCTTTCTTGGAAATAGAAGTACGTCACGACAACTTAATCATAAAGTTCTCGATAACAAAGATTTGTGGTTAGAGGTATATACAATATACCGGCCAGCTACTACAGTGAGCGGTATCACCAGTAGTTTCACAGACAAACATTTTGATCTTTTACTGCATGCATACACTGATAC